GCGCGCCTGAAGATGCAGTAGACGTGAGGAAGGAGAGGAGCGTGGAGTCCAGATGCATCTTCACACCAGCTCTCCTGCAGTGTCTCTCTCTCTCTCTCTCTCAGCCCGGTGCCCCCAGAGAAGGTCGGCGGGTTCTGTTTTCACAGCTCTCGCTGTTCGCCCGAACGAACCAGAGATTGAGTCCAGGCCCTGGGGTACGGGCGCGTGGGCGGCTGCCGGTTTTACTCTTGGCGGCCCCGGTATTTCCGATCCAGGCAGATCTGAGCCGCTACATAGCCGTTCGTCGATGTCGTAGTCGTTCTCGTAATCCAAGTTGCCTTCCCTGTTAGCATTTCGGCTTGGCTCGTACGCGCCATTTGTTTCCGGCACCCGAACACTTCGCAGACCTTCCTCTGAGGCGCCTGCGGATGGCGGCCCTCCGCAGCGCCCTCCTCGCGCTGCTGATGCTGCCGGTCGCCCTCTCGCAGATCACCTCGAAGATGTGTGCGGACAAGTGCTTCACCGTGGCGTGCGCGCCGTCCGACTTCCCCTGCATCATGAGCTGCGTGGGGAATTGCCCCCACGGGGCCGCCACGGGCAACCGCGAGGCGGGGAAGGTCAGCATCCGCGGCGCGAGGTGAGCCAGCGGCGGGCGGCTGCTTAGATCTGAATCTCTCGCACTCCTGCGCCCGCTCTCCTGGTTCTTTCTTTCCGGTTCTGTCAGTCCCCCTTGCTCCTCGTCCCCCCGGCCAGCTCCATCCCCCATCCCGCTTCCCTCCTGCCTCTCTCCCTCCCTTGCCCCTTTTCTGCTCACCTCCTCCTCATCCTCCTCCTCCTCTTCCTCCTCTTCCGCCTTCCTGGGCCCGCCTCCTCCTCTTTCCTCCTCCTCCTCCTCCTCTTCCTCCTCCTCTTCCTCCTCACGGATCCTCCTTCTCTTCCGCCTTCCTGGGCCCGCCTCCTCCTCCTCCTCCCTCTCCTCCTCCTCCTCCTCATCTTCCTCCTCCGCTTCCTCCCCCTCCTCCTTCTCTTCCGCCTTCCTGGGCCTTCATCCTCGCATAATGAGCATAATTGAATTTGCCCCCCACTGTCGGACCACCCGACGTGCGACTCCTCCTCCTGCTCCAGTCCTTCCGTGCTTCTCCTCCGCATTAGCCTGCTCCTGCTCGCCTCCTCCTCAGGATCGGCGGCCTACGACTCATCCTCTCGCCCCCCTATGTCCTCGCCCCACCCCGTCCATTCCCCTCCCTCCTCCCCAGTGCAGGCCAGCATATGCTGCGCCGCAGGCAGTCGACGGTTCTCCTGCCGCTTGCTGGGGCCCGATGGGCGAGCTTCTCTCTCGCTTCGCGGGTGCACGTCTGGACATTCGATCCATCCGGTCCTCTTCATCCTTCTCCTCTTCCGTTCCGTACTCTGCGCTCATCTTCTCTCATCCAGGTAGCAGAAACCCAGATTCCTCTCTTTGTTTTCCCTCTCTCCTGTCCCTCGTCCTGTCCCTCTCCCTTCACATGCATGTTCAGTTGCGTATGCTTGCGCGCAGCAGCAACACACTCGCGGAAGCAGCCATACATGCAAACACGAAGACATGCGCGACACGCAACACGCAACCACACACGCTCACGAACACGTGCACGCCAGTGAAGGGTAAGCCTGTTTTGCGCGAGTGGTATCCATACGATTCAGACACGAGAAAACGTGAGACACGCGAGCGCCTTCTTCCCGCTTGAAAGTGCCCGAAGTATGCCCGGCCTGCAGCGCAAACGCCTTGGACATGTCGCGCGTCTAATGTATATCGACAACGCTTTGCAAAGGTAGTGCCAGGGCTGGGCGTAGAAGCGTAGAGTACTGCAGTCAGTTTAGTATCAGTAGTACCCGTAGTACCACGACTACTTGTAGAAGTAGTACTACGGCATCCTTCACATTCTTCGAGTGTTACAACTTCTGCTTCGACCCAACATTGCGACCAGTAGTGTTTTCCTTCGTCAATGGTTCAGTAGTGTTAGTACCACATACAGCTGATGTAGCAACAAACAGTCGAAGTGCCAGTGAGGTCAGCAGCAGTAGTCGCACATGCCTGGAACTCAGTCTGCTCACTTACATGTTGGTGTCCACACTCGGACATGACAAACAGTGGCATCCAGCACCGGACTGCGTCCTCGCAGCCCGCGGGCCCAGTGGGTTGGCGGATGCCATTCTGATCACCAAGCTGCATCCTCACAATCTGTAGAGCCGTCTCGCTCTGCACTGTAGACGCCATTGCATTGGACGCACCTTCGCTTGCACCTTGCCGCCGTGCGCCCCCCTGACACGACGGCGAACCGCAGCGTGACGCGCCTTCGGCATTTGGTGCCTTCTTGCTTTCTGTGTGCCAGCCTGGTATTGCGCATCAGTCGTGCGTCAGGTTCCTGCTTTTGCGTCGGATGTTCGGATCATGCAATGATGAGACCGTGCTGGTTTGATGCACCACCGCATGCGTGAGGACTGATGGTGGACGAGGGATGGAGAGAACGGTGGAGGGAGGGGGAGGCAAGAGAAGGGAGAAAGGAGGGATGGAGGAAGATGGAGGCGGTGGTGGGCGCCTTGATTTACGATGTAGCTGTGCCCCCGAGAATTTCACACACACAAGCAACTGTTTGTCATGGCGTGCTCTCTGTCAGGCTGTTGCTGCTGCCTTCCTGGTGGTCCCCGGGGCTCCCTCGGGCCGCTCTGGCTCTCCTGTGGCTTGCTGGGGCCCTGTCCTGGGGCCTCCGTTTTTGGAACGGCCTGCGCACCCGTTGGACCGCATGGGCGATCTCGGAGCCTCCCGGGCCCTCGTGGACGGGCCTCCTGGGCCCGCCTGGGCCTGCCAGGAGCCTCCCGAGGCCACCTGGGCTCCGAACCCCCTCCCGAAGCTCGTGTGCTCTCCCGAGTCCGGCTTGGCCCTCCCGGGTACGCTCGGGCCTTCTCGGGGCTGCATGCGCCCTGCGAGCCTCGTGGGCCGTCCCTGGACATGCCCGGACAGGTTTGCGTCATGCCTGGATAGGCCCTCCTACTGGCCTTCCTCGGTTGCGCGTCCGGGAGTAGCCACATATCTTCTGGTCACAGGAATCTCCCCCAGCGGGTTGGGCGTGGATGAGTTGTGTAGGAGCTCGGGTCTGGGAGGTCAAAGTGTACCTCCCTCGACAGGGAGGAGGGCGATTCGTGAGGTGGTCGTCACCTTCGTTGTCGTCGTTGCCGTCGTCGCCTTCTGGGAAATCTTTGGAGTGCCTTGTGAACTCTGGGGGCTGGACATGCGGCCTCTTGTGACGGGTTGAATATATGTTGGATTAGTTGGCCCATGCTTGGGGACCTTGGCTGAATGTTTGGGCCGCCTGGGGACGTTTCCGGATTACGTTTGGCAATGATGGGGTAACGTGTTAGGCCCTCAGTTTGAGTTGTCTTGGAGCATTGAGACATCAGTTCGTTAGCAATTTGAGCTGTCTTGAGCAGAAATAGGCGATATCTGTTCTCTGACACTCTCGGAGGCGACCGTGGGCCCTCGTGGCCTGTTTTAAGGGCCCCACTGGATTTTCCTGGGATGCTATTGCGGCCATCTTGGGCCGCCTTCTCCTGTCGGGGCTCTCTTGGAGGCCTCATGGCCTTCCGGTGTCGTCCACATGCGATGTATAGTGTAAGGGCGACTATGACGCTGAGTCCACCACTCCCGAGTGGTCTCGCTTGGCGCTGTGGGCCCACCACACGAGATGACAGCAGAAAAAGGACGGGCCTGGAGAGACACATGACAAGAGACTGGACATGAGCAACCGTTCATGATTTATCAGCGCAGCAGCTGTCCTGCGCTGTCTCCGTCAGTCTGGCACTCTCCAGAAAAGGGCCTGCGGATTGCTTCTCTGGTTGACCATTGATTTTCACACGAATCTGGGTTTTGAAGCTGGGTTTAGGCCAGGTCATAGGATACAGGCGTGCGAACGATCGTCATTTCTTTTCTACGCCCTGTTGTGGCCAATATTGGCCCGCCCCTGGCGCTGAATGGCCACTCGTAGTTGTCGTGGTCATCCTCGTCATCAGCATTACTACCCCCCGTCAGCATTTCGGCGTAGTGCGTGCGCACCACCTGCTTCCGGCACCCGAACACTTCGCAGATCCTCTTCGGAGACACTTCAGCATGGTGGCCCTCCGCAGCGCCCTCCTCGCGCTGCTGATGCTACCCCTTGCAGTCTCGCAGATCACCTCGATGATGTGTGCGGACAAGTGCTTCACCGTGGCGTGCGCGCCGTCCGACTTCCCCTGCATCATGAGCTGCGTGGGGAATTGCCCCCACGGGGCCGCCACGGGCAACCGCGAGGCGGGGAAGGTCAACATCCGCGGCGCGAAGTGAGCCCGAGCGGCTCTACGCTCCTTTCCCGCCTGTCTGCCTCCCCCCCCGATTCCTCCACGTCCTTTCCCCGCGGTCCTCAGCCCCCCTCCCGCCTCCCCCCTCCTTCCCCCCTGCTCCCTGCTGTTGCTCCTCCTGACTCTTGTTCCGATGTTCTTCCCCGTCCTGCTCCTCCCATCCGCCCTGCTCCTCCCAGCCGCCCTGCTCTCCCCCTCCTCCCTCCTCCCTATGTGTTGCTGCTCCCCCACCCTCTTCTTTTCCGCTGCTCGTCATCCTCATCCCCATCCTTCGCCCCCCCATCATCCTGCCTATCCTTATGTCGGGCCTGTCCCTCTACAGAGGGAATAATCAACAATAGTCAAAATATGGCCTGGGGACTATTGTTTGAATGTTTTGGGACATCTTTGGGATGTGTTTTGAGTATTTTCCCCAACCATCCTGTGGTGTTGGGTCCTCGTTTTGAAGAGACGTCGCCCCGCGTTCTCCTCTCCTCCTCGCCCCCCTCCTCTCCACCGTCCGCATGCGCCCCGCACACCCAGTACAGTGTTTCGTGGCCCCATAGGGAGCTCCACTGAAGGCCCCAGTGCTACCGTCCGCATGCGTCCCGCACACCCAGTACAGCGTTTCGTGGCCCTCCTCCCCCTCCTCCCTGCGTTTCACCTACCCAGTACAGCGCTTCGTGGCCCCATAGGGAGCCCCACCGAAGGTCCCAGCGCTACCGTCCGCATGCGTCCCGCACACCCATTACAGCGTTTCGTGGCCCCATAGGGAGCTCCACCGAAGGTCCCAGTGCTACCGTCCCGCATGCGTCCCGCACACCCAGTACAGCGTTTCGTGGCCCTCCTCCCCCTCCTCCCTGCGCTTCACCTACCCAGTACAGCGCTTCGTGGCCCCATAGGGAGCCCCACCGAAGGTCCCAGTGCTACCGTCCGCATGCGTCCCGCACACCCAGTACAGCGCTTCGTGGCCCCATAGGGAGCTCCACCGAAGGCCCCAGTGCCCCCGTCCGCATGCGTCCCGGAAACCCATTTTGGCATTTTCATTCACCCGGTGCAGCGTTTCGTGGCCCCAGAGGGGGCTCCACCCAAGGCCCCAGTACCAGCGTCCGCATGCGTCCGGGAAGTGTAATTTCGCATTTTCACCCGCGCTGTGCAGCGTTTCGTGGCCCCATAGGGGTCTCCACCGAAGCCCCCAGTGGGACCGTCCGCATGCGTCCCGGAAGCCCAGTTTGGCATTTTTATTCACTCAGTAGAGTGCTTCGTGGCCCCATAGGGAGCTCCACCGAAGCCCTCAGTGGGACCGTCCGCATGCGTCCCGGAAACTCAATTCGCATCACTACCCACAGAGTACAGCGTTTCCCCCCGCCCAGTGCAGCGCCTCGTGGCCCCATAGGGAGCTTCACCCATAGGGAGCTTCACCGAAGCCGATATTCACAATTACGGTACCCACATCTGCGTATGGCTGGGACCTTCGCCAGGATCATTCCTTTTTCGTCGAAGCCCCCCCTGTAGGGGGACACGCCCGACTTAAGCCTATCCCCTGCGCCTTCGCCTCCGCTCCTCTTCCTGACAACTGCCTGCCGCGCCACCAGGCGTGCGGGTAGGGCGGGCCGGCCGTGACGTTCGAGGCGCCTCCTCCGCTTCCTCCTCCTCCTCCTCCTCCTCCTCCTCCTCCTCCTCCTCCTCCTCCTCCTCCTCCTCCGCCCTCCTCCAATGCCTTCACTGAAGTGCTGCGCGTTGCTGGGCGAGTTTGCGTACGCACGGATGGACGGTGGTCACGACAGGAGGGTCTCGCCGGGGCAGGCGGCCCTCGCCAGGTGGCCGCACACGTTCTCGAGCGCTCCTGCGTCTGCGCAGCATGCGCCAGGTCCACGGAGGGAGGGCGGTTCCTCCCCCCCCCTCCAACAGGGGGGGGAGGAGGAGGAGGAGGAGGAGGAGGAGGAGGAGGAGGAGGAGGAGGAGGAGGAGGAGGAGGAGGAGGAGGAGTTAGGCTTACAGCTTGAACACATTTCGAGCCGTCTCGTACACCCTGCATCGCGCGCGCGGAGGCCAGGCCCACAGCGTGGCGGTGCTCCTTGGGTGTCTTGCCTCGTGCCGTCGACGACTGACGAACGTGTGCCGCGGCCGCCGAGCCCAGCGTGTGCCGGTGCATCCCGCCTCGCGACCTCAGGTGGGGATCGCACGAAGCGACATCGTGTAACTTCTACGAGTGGTCCGAAGTGTAAGGTCAAGAGTTGCCGCTTGCTCAAAAGCTAAGTGGATGGAGGGCGATTCCCTTTCAGAGTTGGGCACCCGCGCGACACTCTGTCGGATGTTCCTGCCATCCCAGCCCCGACTGGCACACGTCAGGTCAGCTCTCCCAAAATAGAATCAACATGTAGTCAAGAGATCGTCCCCAGGCTATTGTTTGACCATTCTGTTTTGACCCGTCTTGAGTACTCCTCTTGTAGGGGGGCAGGCAGCTGTCCCTGTGAGACCGGCGGGCGCGCAAGCACCCCCCCCGCATGCTTCTGCCAGTTCTGTGCGCATCGGCCCCCAAAAGGTTGACGCGCGCGCTGCGACATTTATAGTTCACCACCCACCAGACCACCCCAACCCAACCCGAAGGCTCAGATTTACCCTCGATTTCCAGTGGGGGGGGTGGTCGGGAAACATCGAAAAAACACATGTGGAACCCTTACCCCCCCCCCCAACCCGAAATTCCGGTCTTCGGGTTGGGTTGGGGTGGTCTGGTAGGTAGCCAATAGTACAGGCCCCGCTGCGGGCGGTCTCTGGCCATACCGCTCTGGAAACGACGACTTGAAACGGCCGATCCCGCCTGCATGCTTTTTGACAGTAAAAGGTACCCGATCGAGCTGAGATCAAGATGGCGAGCGGGAATAAGATCGAATATCATGGAAAAAAATACTAGAGCTTAAACGACTTGTTGAATTTCGAGAACATATGCAATGGGATTCATGTACTCTCGGATTCGTAGCGGACGATCGCCTCCAACAGCAGCGCACAGTACCGGACTGTTGTCTTTGTCCTGCGTCCCAGCGCGGAGGCGGATCCCTCCTCAAAGAGGAGATCCCGGCTGCGGGGCGGGCCCACGGCCGTCGTGCTGCCTCGGCACCGGCCGCCTCTTCCACCACCTGCCCGTCCTCCTCTCCCTCTCAACTATTCCTTACACTGCCGTTGTTAATACATGCTCCGCGTGCGGATCATGTATGAAACATGCAGGGATCAAGTACTACAAGCAACGATGATTTCATGAATACATTTAGTCATACATGAACCATGTATTAAAACTCATAAGTATGTATGTATGAATCCGATGTATTAAAAACTGCCCTGTACAATTGGCCCGCATAGTAAGGATGTGCAACCTTCCCAAGGGCACCCTTGCATCACTACATCCTCGGCCCATCCTTGGCCGCTTTCGCTGGCCGCGCCCCGCTCGCAGAGCGTCGACGTGGCCTTCCCGGGCCCTGGCATCCTCACCGCCTCCTCGACCTCCGCGGGCAGCTCGCGTGCACCGCGGCGCCCTCCTGTCTCCCGAGGCGTCGCCGATCCTCGACCCGGGAGCGGCACGGTGCTCCGCGGCTCGGCCCTTGGGGCCGACGGTCTCTGGGCACCGCGCCGCCTCAGAGCGAGGCCCGAGGAGGAAGTCCTACCACGGTGCGGTGCACGGGCGCCGCTCTCTCGTTGTTGCTCCCCGCTCCTCCTCGTCCCCAGTCCCCTTCCCCCCACCTCCCCCCCGCTCCTCCCCGTTCCCTGCTCTTCCCTGCCCTCCCTCCGCGCCCACCCCAGGCGGCTCGCCCTGCTGCTCTACTCGCTCGCCCCCCCTCCTCCTCCTCCTCATCCTCCTCCTCCGCCTCCTCCTCCTCCTCCTCCTCCTCCTCCTCCTCCTCCTCCTGGACCGTCCTCCTTCTCCTGCTCCTCCTGCTCCTCCTCCTCGTCCTCCTCCTCCTCCTCCTCCTCCTCCTCCTTCTCCTTCTCCTCCTCTGGCAGTGGTTCAGCTTCTCCTCACCTTGCTCCTCCTATTCAGGCGCCTCAGCCTTCTTTTCGTCTCCCTCCATCCTTGATTATGCCCTTCCCCTTCCCCCCCCGCGTATTCCTCCGCTTCTCGTTCCATCTGGCCCGTGCATCCTCAGCGTAGGCCTGCATCTGCTGCGCCGTAGGCAGTCGACGATTCTCCTGCCGCTTGCTGGGGCCCGTGGGTTTTCGCTTCGCGGGCGCATGTCTGGACAGGCGATCCGTCTGCTCCTCCCCCCTCCTCTTCCTTCTCCACCTCCTCTTCCTTCTTTACCTCCTTCTCCTCCTCCACCTCCACCTGATCTAGAATGGGTGGCAGAGATTGGGCGAATCTCCACTGAGAGAGGCCGCAGCGCTGACAGTGGCGGAGATTCCTGGGAGGATGAAGCCTCCGAGCCTTATTGAGGCTTGTGATTTGAGACTGTCCTTGAGACCACACGCAACAACACTCGCTCGCCCGTTGGGGCTGCACAACATGTCCGCGCCAAGTGGAAGCGAGTCAGAGGTGCGACGTGCGAGACCCAGTCTGTTGGAGGAGCGGACCTGCCATCGGCCCGCGGGCGCGAGCGACACGAGGAGCCATATGGGGCGCTCCAGAATGGGCCTTGCCTTCGAGGACAGAAGGAGTTGTCATCTCTTCCTCGGCGGAAGGCAGCGAAAGGTCGGCGGAAGTACAACGAGGCCGCTTCCGCCTGGCGGAAGGCTGGCCGAAGGCGGCGGAAGCAAAATTCGTTCTTCCAAGAGATGGAAACGTTTTTGGGTTCAGGAAATACGCAGTCGGCCATATGGTGGTTGAGCCTTATCGGTCCTCGTTCTGAAGAGACAGCTCCCCGCGTTCCTCCCTCCCTCCCTTCCTCCTCCCCCTCCTCCCTCCTCCTTGCTTTTCACCCACCCAGCACAGCGCTCCGTGGCCCCATGGGGAGCCCCACCGAAGCCCCAAGTGGGACCGTCCGCATGCGTCCCGAAACATTCAAGTTGGCATTGTCACCCACCCAGTACAGCGCTTCGTGGCCCCATAGGGAGCTCCACCGAAGCCCCCAGTGCCACCGTCCGCATGCGTCCCGGAATACCCAATTTGGCATTTTCGCCCACCCAGTACAGCTATTCGTGGCCCCGTAGAGAGCTCCACAGAAGGCCCAAGTGCCGCCGTCCGCACGCGTCCCGAAATATCACATTTGGCATTTTCGCCCACCCAGTACAGCGTTTCGTGGCCCCAGATTCCCCCCACCCAGTGCAGCGCTTCGTGGCCCCATAGGGAGCTCCACCGAAGATGGCATTCACAATGGCGGTACCCACAACTGCATATGGTTGGGTCCTTCGCCAGGATAATTTGTTAGGGCGCTGTTTTTTTTCAGAGCGTGACTGCGTTAAGCACCTCAGCAGTGGCGAAGCGTCCTGGCTCGCCTACAGTCCTATCAAAGAATGTTCCAATAACCTTGGATGGTTTGCACGAACTGTTCTTAGAACATTTCTGGTTGGGACGGTCTTGTTTTAACAGATCGGGCGCATGTTAGAAGAACATCGATTTGGTTCTTGGGGCATTTTTGGGGTTCCGAGAACATGTCGTGGTAGGACTGTAGGAACGCCGGGACGGTCGGTCCCTGCTCAAGAACAGGGGGGCGAGCCAGGGCAGGCCCCGCGCAGGAGGCGGGGGGGGGGGGGCCCAGGGCCCCGGGAATCTCTCGGAGGGCCCCCCCTCCCCTCCCTCCCTCCCCCTCCCCCTCCCCTCCCCCTCCCCCCCCTCCCCCTCCCCCTCCCCCTCCCCTCCCCCCCCCCTCCCCTCCCCCCCCTCCCCCTCCCCCTCCCACTCCCCCTCCCCCTCCCCCCCCTCCCCCTCCCCCCCCCCCCGACACGCGCCGGGCCGATTTTTGTGCAGGGCGGCGCCCCGGGAAGGCCAGACCCTCTGCCCGTGGCCGGCTCCTCCTGCCGAGTCGTTAGTTTTCTGAGGGTGCCGGGGCCCCGGCGAGGGGGCCGCCAAGGATCAAGCAGTGGCGAAGCGTCCCGGCGTGCCTATACCCATCGGTCGTTCAAAAGTAGGTATTTTTTGGATTCCCAGATTCCAATCTGCTTTCAGCGCCTTCCTACTTCAGGAGTCGAGTGGTGTTCCCTCTTCCTTCCTCTTCAGGAGGCGTGCGGAAACCCAATCTATTTCCAACGCCTTCCTGCTTCATGTTTCTACCTACTTCTTCCGACCGATTGGTAGCCCCACCAGACAATGTTCTGAGAGTTTTTTTGGTTCCCACGAAATGCTCTTAGAACACTTCTGGCGGAGTCCGTCTTATTTCCTCGCATCGGGTTCTGCCCAAAAAGCGTTCTCAGAGCATTGCTTTTTCTGTTCTTAGAGCGCTTTTGGGTTCTAAGAGCATTTCGTGGCATGACTATAGGAATGCCGGGACAGTCGGTCCCTGCTCGAGAAAGGGCCCCCAAGGACCGGAAATAGTGAACAATGTGCCGTCCTGATTTTTTTACGACGCTATCACGTCTGGGCCTGTCGGTGCAGGCAGCCACGGGGGGACGGGGGGCTCCAGCTGCCGGGCCTCGTCCCACCGAGCGCGCTCCACTATACTCGCAGAGTGCCCACTCGCAAGCGCCCGGAACAGAAGCAAAACAAAAAGCATGGCTCCCTCGATGCCATGGAGCGCAGAGATCCCCCGCGGCGGATGCGGGCCATCCGCGAGCAGCTACGCTGCAAGTCGCGGAGCGCGCTCGCCCATCGGCGGGGAGAGCCCCCCCCCCCCCTGTGTGGGGGGAGAGCGGCCGAGAGCGCAGGCCCCCGCCGCCGGGCGCCGGCTCGGGGAATGTCTCTGGGGGTGCGGCCCTGCGGCGGCCAGGCATGGTCCCGCGAGGGGGCCTGGCATCGCTCGGACGCGTGCATTTTTTTTCCCGGCGAGAACCACCGAGGAGCATCCTGGACCATCGAGCAACAAACACGCACACGCACGAAGCCGAAGAATGCACGGGACATGGACGTCCGAGCGACGGCGAGGGGGTGCCAATCCCAGCGGCAGGGCGGCGCCGGGCCGTGGCCTGACGCGTCGGGCAGGTCCCTCTGCAGGAGGAATGGTCAAGCACAGTTTCTTATATATATATATATAAATATATATATATATAAAAACAGTATGGGGAGGATGTGTGGAGTTTTGTTTTTTTTGGCCATTTGGGAGTATGCCTTGCTTACGTTTCATCTTTCCATCCAAGTCCGCCTGTAGGGGGACATGCTCGACCCAACCATGGCCCGATGCGTCGTGCCTCGACCTTCCAAGCCTTGGGCACCGCAGGCAGAAGCAATCCCCCCTGACGTGGCCGAGGGAGAGAGAGAGAGAGAGAGAGAGAACAAAACAAACAAAACAATTAGCCTGGCGAAGGACCCAACCAGATGAAGTTGTGAGTACTGGCTTTGTGGGTATCGTCTTTGGTATCGTCTACGATGGGCCACGACATGCTATACTGGGCGGAAGGGACGCATGCAAACTTTGCCACTGGGGCCTTCGGTGGAGTTCCCTATGGGCCACAGGACGCTGTACTGAGCGGGGGAGACGCATGTGGACACCGCCAGTGGTGCCTTCGGCGGAGCCACCTATGGGGCCACGAAAGATTGCGCTCGGTGGGGGGGACGCATGTGGACACAGCCACTGGGGCCTTCGGCGGAGCTCCCCATGGGGCAACGAAATGCTGTACGGGGTGGGGAGACGCGCGTGGGAATCGCTACTGGGGCCTTCGGCGGAGCTCCCTATGGGGCCACGAAGTGCTGTTACGTTGACACAGCCACTGGTTCCGCAGGTGGACCTCGCCATGGGGCCACGAAGCGCTGTGCAGGGTGGGGGAGACGCAGGTGGACACCGCCACTGGGGCCTTAGGTAGAGCTCCCAGGGTGGGGGAGACGCATGTGAACACCGCCACTGAAGCTTTATGTGGAACTTCTTCTGGGGCCACGAAACACTGTGCTGTACTAGGTGGGGAGACGCACGTGGACACCGCCACTGCGGCCTTAGGTGGAGCTCCCTACGGGGCCACGAACGCTGTGCTGGGTTGGGGAAACGCACGTGGACACCGCCACCCGGGCCCTAGGTGGAGCTCCCTATGGGGCCACGAACGCTGTGTTGGGTGGGGGAAAAGCGGGTGGACACCACCATTGGGGCCTTAGGTGGAGCTCCCTATGGGGCACGAAAGTCTGTGCTGGGGAGTGGGGAGACGCATGTGGACACCGCCACTGGGGCTGTAGGTGGAGCTCCCGATGGGGCCACGAAGCGCTTTGCTGGGTGGGGGAGACGCATGTGGACACCGCCATTGGGGCCTTGGGTGGAGTTCCCTATAGGGCCACGGAACGCTGTGCAGGGTGGGGGAGACGCATGTGGACACTGCCACTGGGGCCTTAGATGGAGGTCCCCATGCGGCCACGAAGCGCGGTGCTGGGTGGGGGAGACGCATGTGGACACCGCTCTTGGGGCCTTAGGTGGAGCTCCCTATGTGGCTACGAAGCGCTGTGCTGGGTGGGGGAGACGCATGTGGACACCGCCCTTGGGGCCTGAGGTGGAGCTCCCTATGTGGCCACGAAATGCAATGTTGGGTGGGGCAGACGCATGTGGACACCGCCACTGCGGCCTTAGATGGAGCTCCCTATGGGGCAACGAAAGGCGGTATCTGGTGGGGGAGACACATGTCGACACCGCCACTGGGGCCTTAGGTGGAGCTCCCCATGTGGCCACGAAGTGCTGTACTGGGTGGGGAGACGCACGTGGACACCGCCATTGGGGCCTCAGGTGGACCTCGCCATGGGGCCACGAAGCGCTGTGCTGGGTGGGGGGGACGCATGCGGACACCGCCCTTGGGGCCTTAGGTGGAGCTCCCTGTGGGGCCACGAAACGCTGTGCTGGGTGGGGGAGACGACGACGAAGACATGCGGAGTGCAGAGGCAAGGGATGGGAGCAGGGAGGAGGGGAGGTGGAATAATGGGAGAATGCAGGAGGGGGAGGAGGAAGGAAGGAAAGAAGGAAGGAAGGAACGCGGGGCACCGTCTCTTCAAAACGAGGACCCAACACCACAGGATGGTTGGGAACTAGTGAGGTGGGCAGCACGGGGAGATCCCGACGAGCAGGTGCATGACGAAGCAGCGCGCAGCGGCGCGGCGCAGAGCATGCCTGGTGATAGTTGTTTATCCATGGTTTTTTCCGATCGGCGCGGGCCCTCGCATCCCCCTTTCCCCCCGCCTGGAGTGAATCTGGGCTGTTTTTGGCGCCTGTTTCGAGCAGGTGGAGTCCCTCTCCCATAATGGACGCCCTGTCGCAAACAGCCGCACTAAGCAGAGGCCCAGAGCCAGACCCCCCCCCTTTCCGCCGAAATGTCGAAACACCGAACCGAAAAGCGCCTACCTGCGTGCAGCACTGCCCATCAAGCACTGCCCTTCAAGCAATCCCCTGACGTGGCCGAGGGAGACAGAGAGAGAACCAGTCAGGTGGGCAGCACGGGAAGATCCAGACGAGCTCGGGGCATGACGAAGCGGCGTACAGCGGGGCGGCGCAGACAAATGCCTGCGTGCAGCAGATCTCATCCAGCATCGCATTCCGCCATCCTCACACGGGCGACCGCGGCCCGGGCACGTGCTCGGGGGGGGGGGGCGGGGCCACGCGCGGGCCGCGAGCTTCCAGGATCTCAGATGACCAGGCTCGCATCCGGCGTCGGCTCAGGAAGTGGGGGCACAAAAGTAAGTCGGGCGTGCCACATTAAGTTTAGAGGACGAGTATTCAAAAAACAGTCCCAACATAGTATGGGGACGATTTTAGTTTATTTTTCCGTATTTGTGAATTTTCTCTTGGTATTTTTCATTGTTTGTCCCAGACCCGCTTGTAGGGGACATGCCCGACCGAAGCATAAAAGGCAAAGACCACAGCACAGGCCCTTCGCATGAAGCCCGGCATTCTAAAGGCGATTATTATGGGTCAACAGCCGGGCCTGGGCCCCCTCAGCGATGTCACAAATTGTGATGATCCTGCGAGCGGCATCGTCGCCAAGGTGGACACACGACAGGAAAGGAAGGCTGCATAACGTGGCAGCGATTCGAGGGGGGGGCTAACCTCCTCGTGCCCCTCCTCCCCCTATCCTCTGCCCTTTCCCCCCGCCTCACCGCCCCTTCTCCCTATCCTCCTATTCCTCATCCTCCTCTCTTTTCCTGCTCCCCCCTGTAAATCTTTACTCTAGTGCACTACCTGACCTCGTTATTCTCCCCCCTCCGTCTTACCCTCCTCTGTTCCTCCTCCTTCTCCTCTTTAAGTCTCTTCTCTCCCGACCTACACGTGGTGCGTCTTTGGATGGTTTGTGTGATCTCCCGTGGCGTTCCGTGGAGGAGGAGGAGGAGGATGAGGAGGAGGAGGAGGAGGAGGAGGAGGTTCAGGAGGAGGAGGAGACAGCATTCAGTGCTCATGGGAGCCGCCCGCTCAATGTCCTCCTCGGGCCCTCTTGCGTTCACTTGGGGCCGCCTCGGATGGCGTCTGGGCGCTCCGTCTGTCCAGTGCGTTTTTGCTCCCTTGGGGGTCAGGAGGAGCCCGTGCGTTCTTCGCCCACGCGTCCTAGATGTTGTGAGGTCCGCTTACCTTTTGCACTTGTCTCCCTCGGTGGCGGTCTCACAATCATCAGGCCCACTGGGCCGGCTGATTCCATTTTGATCACCAGGCTGCGTTGTCACATCCCGCGGAGCCGTCTCGCTCTGCACTGGAGAGGCCATTGTACTAGACGCGCTGTCGCTTGCACCTGTCGTCGCGAGCCGCTCCTGCGAGCGAACGGTAGCAGCGCAGGTGACAGCACAACGTGTTCTGTGCATTCGGTGTCTGCCTGATTTCTGTGCGCCGGCTTGGTATTCTGCATCAGCTGACGGGAAGTCTTCTGCTGTTGCGTCGGATGTTTGGGCTTCATCGGGATTGCCGCATTCTGCGCTGTCTCATCTAGGAATGTACGCCTTTGCTCCTCAGTCAGCGCCTGCACCGAAGGGTCTTTTGTGGACTCGAGCGCCTGGGAAAGTGCTGCTCATCGAGCGCCTGGAGAAAGTTGCCCCTCGCGTATCCCCGCCAGCCCATCTCAGAAGCAATCAGCAGGCGAGGTGCCCTGATCAAGGATGTGCAGTACCATCTCTTCACGTCGCAGGGTCCGTTCCGATCCGATCGATCCGATGCGATATCGATTCTGGCCGCCTCGCTCCGATTCGATTCCGACTCCGATGTTCCGGCGATCCGCTGCGGCCCGATGCTTGCATGGCGCCGTCCTCCGTCCGGGCGCCGCCTTTAGAACCGGTCGCGACCGAAGAAGGTCTGGTCTCCAGTGGCCCGGGCTGATGGCGCCGCGAGTGCCCGGGACTTCCCCCCCCCCTGGCTCCCTCGGCCCCGCCCCCGTGGCTGCCCCCCACGGCCGTGCCTTGCCCCCGGTGCTGCCCGCCGTGGCGCGCGCCAGTCCTCTGTCCCGCGCGCGCCCCTGGCGGCCCCGCCCAAGGCCCTGGGCTGCCCAGGACGCTGCGCAAGCCAGGGCTCTGCCGAATCCTGCGGGCGAAGGCATCGAGAAGAGAAGGACCCCGTGACCCTGGTAGCACGGTGAAGACGTAGCCTGTCTCGGGCCCCCGCCTTTGCGTCAGGGGTAGTGGAGATGGGTGGTGTGGCCTGGTGCATCTGCTGACGAGACCCCCGAGTCCCTCATGGGATTGGCCTCTTACCCCAAGTCCGCTCCCAAAGGGTGAGGGTTCTGTTAATAGCTAACAAAAAAATGAAGATTGGATAATCCGGGGAGCGAGTGATGACATAGACATTCACAGATTTTCGGAGGTCTGCGCTGGAGCTCCGTGGCGGCGCCTCTGGCGCCGCTCCTGGCGCGCTCGGCGCACCAGAGAAGGGTCCAGCGCCGATTGAAGAGATCCGCGGGGACCGCCGAAATATTATACGTCTATGCCAATACAGCCGGACCGAGGTATAAGATCGAAAGCGCGCCAGTGGATGGCCCTGAATACACAACAAGGGGGGTGTGCTCGCAGAACCACCCCCCCCCTCCCCCCCTTCAAGGGGGGGGGGTGGGATTTTCGACTACCCCCCCCTCCACCCCTTAAGGGGGGGGGTCTTAACCCCCCCCTCCCCCCCCCCGTCCTCGAAGGGGTGGGGGGGTGGGGGGTTCCGGACCCCCCCGTCCCCCCCTTGGCGCTGGAAAGGGGGGGGGGAGGGGGTCGACCCCCCCCCTTCTCCCACCTTTGCGCCGAACAGGGGGCTGGGGAGTGGGCTTCTCGGGTAGTGAGTAGGGCATCGAGTATTTTGAGTAGCGATTGGTGAGTAGTGGGTCTTTGATAGTGAGCAGTGAGTCGTGAGTGGTGAGTAGTGAGGTAGTGAGTAGTGGGTAATGGGTAGTGGTAGTAGTGAGTAGCGCGTAGAGATTAGTGAGTAGTGAGTAGTGGGTAGTGGGTAGTGAGTAGTGGGAAAGAAGTAGTGAATAAGGAATTGTGAGTAGTGAGAAGGGAGGAATAAGTAGTGCGTAGTGAGTAGTGCATAGCGAGTAGTATGCAGGGAGTAGGGATGAGGGAGTAAACAGTAGCGAACAGCGAGGAGTGAGTACTGAGTAGTGAATAGTGAGTAGTGCGCAGTGAGTACAGAGTAGTGAGTAGTGAGTGGTGCGTTTCGAGTAGCGAGTAGGGAGTAGCGAGTAGGGAGTGGCGAGTAGTGACTAGTGAGTAGCGAGCAGGGTGTTGCGAGTAGTGAGTAGTGAGGAGGGAGTAGTCAGGAGTCACTAGTGAGTAGTGAGTAGGGAGTAGTGCGTAGCGAGTAGGGAGTAGCGAGTAGTGAGTAGTAGGTAGTGGGTAGTGAGTTGTGAGTGGTGAGTAGGGAGTAATGGGTAGTGAGTAATGAGTTGGGAGTGGTTAGTAGGAAGTACGTAGTAGTGAGTACTGAGTAGTGCGAGCGTAGTAACTAGTGAGTGGTGGGAAGTGAATAGTGCGTATTGGGTAGCGAGTAGGGCGTAGGGAGTAGCGAGTGGTGAGTACTGAGTAGTGAGTACTGTGTAGGGAGTAGCGACTCGCGACTAGTGGATCGTGAGTAGTGCGTTGTGGGCGGTGAGTAGTGAGTAGTAAGTAGTGAAGTGTGAGTAGTGAGTAATGGATAGTGGTTAGTGGGGTAGTGAGTAGTGATTTGTTATTAGCGAGTAGTGGGTAGTGAGTTGTGTTTAGTGAGTAGTGACTATTGAGTAGTGGGTAGTGAGTAGTGAGTAGTTTGTAGTGAGTACTAGTGAGTAGGGAGTAGTGATTAGTGCGTCGTGGGTAGTGAGTCGTGGGTAGTGAGTAGTGAGTCGTGAGTAATGAGTAGTGAGAAGTGAGTAGTGAGTAGCGAGTAGTGAATTGTGTGTAGTGAGTAGGGCGTAATGAGTAGTGAGTGCAGTTTGGGGCTAGGCTTTGGGCTTGGGGCTAGGGTTAGGGGTTAGGGTAAGGGTGAGGATCAGTGTTGAAGCAGGCAGGGGTCGGGTTCCGGAGACCAGGGGCGCCGTGGCGAAAGGGAGGGAGGGCGGGGGGCCGAATTTGGCGGCCAAAGGGGGAGAGGGGGGGGCTGTTCGGACCCTCCCCCCCCTGTTGAAAAGGGGGGAGAGGGGGGAGGTTCCCCAACGACGGACCGGGAAGGGAGGGGGGGTGTCCGCGACGACGGATCGGGAAAGGGGGGGAGGGGGGGGGTCCCCGACGACGGATCGGGGAAGGGGGGGGGGGGGGGTCCCCCCCCCTCCCTTGGGGTCATCCCGCGGCGCGCCCTCTATAAGATCGAGGTCGGCTCGGGGAGGGTACCCTCGTATTCTTCGTGCTTGTTGGATGCTCTTGTGCACCCTGGGGAGGGCACCCTTGGATGCCCCGCCCGTATTGGCCGACGGAGGGGGCCAGGATCTCGAGGGCTGTTCTCCTGGCCCAGGCCCGACTGCACGTGCGATGTCTCTTTCCTCCGAGAGTGCGTTCCGGCCCACGGCGGTAGTGCTCCAGAGGGCGCCAGTGTCGTGGCTTGCCCACAGAAAGCACCCCTCAATCGGCCTGCGGCCGCCTCCGCTGTGCGCCTCCTTCCCGTGCCGCACTTCCTCCGCGGCACGCGTTGAGAGGCAGCCGCAGAGGCACCAGGCTGGCTTCGCGCTGTCGCCGGGGTGTAACATCGAAGAACAAACCACTGCATAACCATAAGCTTGCTGGCCCCCCCTGGCGGCGCTTCTGCCGCAGACGGGCTAACGGTGATGTAGGCAACGGCGATGTCGGTTTCGGTATTCTGGGCCCGCGTGGCTCGCGCTTTCCTACAATTTGCCGTGTCGGGCTCGATCGAGGCCATTCGCAGATTGGACATGTAGGAAAGTCTGGTTTGTGATTCCCTACCATTTGGTTCCCAGCGTCACCGCTAAGCAACATCGCCGTCAGCTCGGCCTTGGTTCTGGCGCCGCCCCTGGCGCGCTCCGAGCGCCAGCGCCAGAGAGGGGGTCCAGCGCGGATGCAAGAAATCCGCACGGACCTCCAGTTTGTGTGTGCTTCCGGTGTCCTTCGCCCCTCGAGACAAAAAAGCAACTTCTGGTCCGGCCGTGGTCCTGATGCTGCCGGCCGCTGCCGCCTGTCTCTCGCTCGGCGCTCCCTCCGTCCGCCCTCGACCCTGCGACCCCCAGGTCTGGTGGGCCTGTTTTCCACCACCACCACCACCACAAGCAGGAGGGGGGAGGGGGTCCTCCTCCCCCTCCTCCTCTTCCTCCTCCTCTTCATCCTCCACCTCCTTCCCCCCTCCAACTGATGGCGGTGGCGGCGGAAAACAGAACCATGGAGGTCACCCCGCGGAGGTGCGAAGACGATCGCGCTTCGGGCGCCACGGCCCGGGCGAGCGCGGCGGCCCTTCTGCCAGGGGTCGGCGCGATGGCGCGCAGATGAACGCGCGATGCCGCGGGGAGCGCAACGCCAAGATGTTCCGCGGCCTGGCGCCGTCCGCCGGGGATTCCCCCCGAGAGCCTCATCCAGTCGGCTCTGTGGCCCGACCGTCACGAGCTCGGGTGTGATCCTCCCTTGCCACCGATCTCCCAGCGCTGCTCCCGCCGATCACAGGCCATGGTTCTTGCGCCAGGTGCTGCCGACCGGTGTGGTTCGGTCCTGCTGCTTCTTCACGTTGCACGGCACAGGGGCGCCGGCCGATGTCTTGGTCGATTTTTAGACCGAGCTGACGTGCTGCGGTCGGCGTTTCGGGGGAAGAGGAGGAGGAGAAGTTGGATGAGGATGAGGAGGAGGAGAAGTTGGATGAGGAGGAGGAGGAGGAGAAGTTGGAGGAGGAGGAGGAGAAGTTGGAGGAGGAGGAGAAGTTGAAGAGGAGGAGGAGAAGTTGGAGGAGGAGGAGAAGTTGGTGGAGGAGGAGGAGGATAAATTGGAGGAGGAGGATGAGGAGGAGGAGGAGGAGGAGAAGGAGAAGGAGGGTAACGCGTCAGTTACTCGACCAGATGCGAGGCCCCCCCTGGAGCCGAAGACGCTCGTGTCTCCCGACCCCTCGCCCCTGCGAGGAGCAGCGCCGGCGTCGAGGGTTTCCGTGCCGGCGAGCACAACTTTCGCCGCGCCGTGCGCGTTGGCTTAAGTCGGGCATGTCCCTCTACAGGAGGTATATTCAGAAATAGTCAAACAATAGTCGGGTGATTTCATTGTTTGGAAT